GTACGGCCTCGTGTGGTGTGGTCGCCCATGGGTATGCCAAACATAATTGTTATGACAAAATTCGAAGATGCCTCTCCAATATTTGAGGGCTATCTCGCCGCAGTGGGTGCGAAAAGTGACAGCCGTGCTCTAGAATCATAATATGCTCAGGATCGATATTGCTGATGGCTTTTGCTATTGATATTGCTTTTGTCCATGGCGATTTGGTTCTGGACTGTTAGCGGGGGGAACCAATTTTTTTCCTAATAATTCTCTACGGCCCTATAATAAAATATAAACCATTTTTCTAGTTTTTTACGTATGCAAATAGAAAAATACTATCAAAGATAATGAAACTTTTCGAAAATTTTTGACTTTTTGGTGAAAACTGTAAGAAAAATGAACCAAAAGGTAAAATTTTAGTTTTAAAATTTTAAAAAATATTTTTGATGCATTTCTAGCAATCAAAAACTACTAAAAACACTATAACAATTCATGGTATATCATCAATAGGTAGGTATAGGTGGAAAAAACAAAAGGCGGCTTCCCCCGCTAACCGCCCAGAACCACTATTTTATACATCGTTTTAGGCCGAAAATAAAACTATTCGTATATTTTTTATGCATGTCGAATGACCTTGAAAAACTACGAAAATTAGCGACATTATTGAAAATTCTGGGATACCTCGGGAACGATCCGTGGATATTTGTCGATAGAAATGAGGATATCCGAGACTCGATGACTCGTCGGCCAATGTGAATTGTGTTGAATGAATCGATATGGCAATGTCTGAAAGGACTTATTCCCTAAAGAATCCCCGTTAGTTTGCCCCCACATGCTTACAGTAAATACGGGATGATGCAAGAAACGTACTTTTGTAGCATGACGTAGACGGATCCTTTCTCGAAATCCCAACTGAGAAGAGACAATAGATTGTAGTCGAATGGGTAGAGCCAAGAAATTGAATGGACATTTGTTCGACGATCGTTTTCCTGTTTTCATTTGTCGCCTGTATCTTTTCCTTTTTTCTTTAGCCAGCAATTGGTCTAGTTGTTGATTAGTTGGATATAGTTAGAGGAGGGAACTATAATAATCGAGGATCAAATGAACAGAAGGAAGTATTTTTATCATAGCAGAAAGGCAGATGGATAGCCTTTCTTGCCCCCATATCTACCGAATAGCCTGGGGCCATTACTTAATTTCTTTGCGCGCGTATTGGATTTTACAGATCCTGCTATTTTCGACAGTAAAATTGTGTTTTTGTGGTAAATATGGGAACCCTCTTTGTTCGGAAACAATTTGAAATTGCGGGAAAATCGGAAAATCTATATTTTTGGCCTTTTTAATAGGTTTTCGTATATTTTTTACGTTTCCGAATAGTCAAAAACCGCAAAACTGATCAAGAACAGAATAAACTTTATTTTCATATTTAAAATAATTTTTGTAATTTGGTAGTATAAACGGCTATTTGCACGATTTTGGGCATAGTGAGCCAGGTCGCGCGCGTTTCCAGGAGGGGGAAGTAGCGCAGGAGGTTCGATTCTGGTCCTATCCTATAAGCGAGAAAAGTATGTTTGTTTTCTGTGCAGCCGATTTCTCGGCCGTCAGGCCGAATTTTTTTTCATAACGCAATTCACGATACAGGGTGGCCCAAAAAAAAAACAACAGGTTTGGGCTCGATTATCTCGAGAACCTTAATGAATTCATGGTGGGTTGATGGCTGAAAACCATTTTCTCGGCCTGGAAAAGAAATTAAACACAACTTGATTTTTTCGATTTTTGAGTACGCAACTGTACTATTGACGCTGGTTACGACCGAAAATTGTGCGTTCTTGAACGGGTGGTGGGAAAATTCTGATTTTTGGCCTAAAAATAGCTGATGTTTGTAGAAATGTAATGGCAAAATCTTAGAATTTATCGAGGTCAATTTCATTTTTTAGAAGTAATACAAATTTCACTATTTTGCACCAGGGTTGAAAAGCCGCTTCGCGACTTTTCAACCCTGGCCCCGTCCAACCCCATCAGATTCTTCACTCTGCATACGTCTTTCGATTTCCGATGAGAAAAATGAAAAATTCCACTCTCTCGGGTTATAGATAGGCCGCCGCCACTTCCGGCGTATGCTAATTATTTCCTAACAAAGAAGGCTGCCCCATTTTTTAACAAAAACTTAATTTTAATGTCGAAAACAGCTGAATTTGTAAAAACTGATATTGGTGCAGTCATCTCCAGACTACGACGCATCTAATGACGTATCAAACATACCTTAAAACCCTTCCCTTTCCGAGATATCCTCCGGACAGAATGACGGAAGTTGCATGCAAAGTGGCACGGACACACACACAGACACTATTTTTTTATATATAGTAGGATCTTTTTACGTTTTAACCAGGGTTGAAAAGCCGCTTCGCGACTTTTCAACCCTGGCCCCGTCTAAACCAATAATATTTTTGACTTTGCATTCTTGCATACGGTTCTCCATTCCTATGCGAATAATGAAAAATGTCACTCTCTAGCTCTTCATATAGGCTCCCGCCACTTCCGGTTTATGCAAATTGTTTCCTACCAAAGAGGGTTCCCGATTTTACAACAAAAACATAATTTTAATGTCGAAAACTACTGATTTTGTAAAATCTGATATGCGTGCAGTCATCTCGTGACCATTACGCACCTAATGGTGTATCATACGTAGACTAATACCCTTCCCTTCTTGAGATATCCTCCGGACAGCCTGACGGAAGTTGCATGCAAAGTGGCACACACACACAGACACTATTTTTTTATATATAGTAGGATTCGCAACTCGCTTCAAATTCTCTGCCCATGGCTGATCTTTTGCAAATGGTGTCTCCAAATGATGATCTTTGATCCAACGCCAGTTATCACCCGATTCTATGGTATTTTAATATTGCTTGCTAAAACGTGCCCCAGAGGGATACTGTAGTTTTCGTTTTTGGCGTTTTTCTTTTTATCGTATGCTGCGATTTTGCTTAAAATTTTTCCATTGGTAAACACCAGTAAGGGTCACCTATGGGCCAAATATCGTGAAGTTCTAGCCACACACCTTCCCAAAATATGCAAAAAACTTATTTTTGAATTTAGCCATAGAAATTTTTAAATATTTTGATACATGGGACCAAAAACTACTGTTATTTGTTGTCCCAAAAGATCGAAACGTTTCTATGGTGAAAAGAACGAGAAAACGACGATTTTCTGTTTTCTACCGTAACCCGCCTGGAGCGCGTTTTAGCATGCCAAGACAAAATGCCATAAAATGCCAATTTTTCTATTCTAGACTGTTCACTGGGCGATTGTAAGAGCACCTACAAAAAATTACTTGATTCCTGTGGCAAATGACTAAGTTATGAGGGAAAGAGGAAAACCCTCCTCGGGGCCCGATTTTGGACCCGACGCCCTGGCTCGAAAACCGAATTTTTGAAAATGAAAATGGCACCGGGGTTTGGTGGATACAATTAAAGCACGTATCGAACTGTGTATGAGAGCAGAATACTGGAATGATCTGGCTGAAGTTAATGGTTGATTTTGATTTAAAACCCGTAAATAACGTTTTTGAAAAGCCGACTTTGGGGAGCTCTTCTAAATTCGTTTGCCATGAAAAGGCTTTGTATTTGCATGGGTTCTAGTTGCCTACCCGAGCTGAGTTTATGCCAGAAAAGTCGAGGCTACTAAACCCTCGAGAATTTTCTTACGTCGCCTCGAGTTCGGGTATATTTGGACTCTTCATGAATTTCTTTTGAGAGATTGGATGGCCCAATAAATTTGTAAATATAATTTTAGAATGCGCCAATTAAGTAATATCAAATAAAATTATGACAATAATTCTAGCCGTGCAATTGAATTTTATAGATTGGCACCAAGGTCTGCGAAATAGCAAGAACCAACCGTTTTGGAGGCGCTAAAAAGCAGCCTTCCAAAGGGGTACGGTAGCTAGAATTTGTCTACATGATAGATGGACCCCAGTCCTACACAACTAAGCAAAGCAAACACGGAAATTCTATCTGCAATTTTAGAAATATTTTTCCAAAGTTCAGTTTCGTGACCTCGAAAGAATCCATGACCAGGGGGTCGTCGAAAAACTCAAAAATCCGCGGATCTGAAAAATTTTTTTGATATTTTTGCGGGATTGTATCGAGCCTATAGACGGGCTAAAACAGCTTGTTCTGAGGTTTCCACCATAGGTTTTTGTAATATTCGAAATTTACGAAATTTCTCCATATTAAATTTGAGCACGCTATAACTTGCCACCCTGACCTTCAAAAATTCCAAAATTTTGCATGTATCTATCTAATGCCTACAAGATTTTACACAGCAAAAATTAGAAATCCCCTGCCACAGGCGGCTGAGAAAAATACAAATTAAACTTCCCCGAACGCACAGTTTTCGGGTGTCATTTGTATTGATACGTCGCCAAAAATCGAAAAAATCAAGTTGTGTTTAATTTCTTTTCCAGGCCAAGAAAATGGTTTTCAGCCATCAACCCACCATGGATTCGTTAAGGTTCTCGAGATAAACGCGCCCAAACCTGTTGTTTTTTTTTTGGGCCACCCTGTAGAAATTTTTTCCCACCACGATTTTTTTGAATTATCCTGACCCGACCCCCTGATTCCTCTTTGAACGCGCCCTGGCAGTGGATTAGGCGGAGGATGATCAAGTGGGTGAGCCGGGGGTAATCCAGTGCTTGACCCCCGGTATCGTTATGTAATGGCCCAAAGGGGCCGCGATGGCCAGCAACAATCACTTTTCCTCAGCTACAGTGTGTCCATTCAAACCACCTGGCTACATGCACTCCACAAAATCTTTATACCTTCAAATATACAAGGAAGTAATTGAGAACAAAAACCTGAATAGCTTACCCGAGGACACACAGTAATATGCAAAAATTATTAATAATGGTAGGGTACGGTTAAAAGTACAAAGAAATTCGAAATGAAATTGACTAATGCTAGCGAGGGCTTCAATGGAATGGATGAAAAAATCGGAGTAAACCAAAAAATTTTTTATTGGCTCTTCTTCAGCTCGTTCATGGCCAACACGGCCATCGTCACCTGCGCAACCTCGGCGCGTAATCGTTGCACCTAGAAAATAATTTTCAAATATTTAAATATATGATATCGATTAAAATAAAGATCAGTGCCGACCTCCTTGCGCAGCTCCTCGTTCTCCCGGGCCAACTTCTCGCTTTTATGCCGATTTTCCATTTCGCGTTGCCGGCGCACCTGAAAAAGCCTGGAATAAACCTTGATTTCCTGATTTTGACACAGTATTACGTTTTTCGGTGCTTTTGCGATATCGGGGGGGGGGGGTGAAAACCCAACAGATCTATTAAAAAACTACCAAACATATAGATCGTGCCGCGTTTCACCCAAAAATTTCAATTTTTTTAGCAGTTTTCATTTTCCAAAAATTTTGCCGCTTGAAATATAGTTCATATTATCAAATTAGCTATCAAAAATACTAGATTTATAGAAAATCCTCCGATATTGCCAAAGTACCGATTTTATTCATTTTATACTGAAATGTCGTGCTCACCTCTCTCGATCGTCTAGCCGAATCGTTATTTCGCCGTCGACGCTCAGCATAGTCTAGCTGAAATCATGCGTTTTCCGCCTCGCTTTTTCTTATACTTACCGCTTGCTTCTTCGTCGGCGTAATGCCAGATTGTTCTGAAGTGGTGCTGGTTGTCTCGTCATTAAATGACGGCTCTCTGAAGGTGCTAGTTTTGATTGATCTTTTATTTTTATGACCAGCGCCCAAAACCCGCTTCGCGGGCCTTGGGCGCTGGAATGCGGCCTTTGCATAAGAGATTTGACTTTCCGATAGCTCGGGTCCTTCGGACCCCCTCCCCGGCCCACCACACGCGCGCGCGTGCAACTTGCAAGAATGAAGAAATTTCTATTTTTTTCACATTATGCAAATTACTCCCAAAAATGAGTAAAACCGGCTTTAACTTTGTAAACTTGTATTTTATCAAAATTCTGAAAGCGCCATTGGAAACAGAAGGGTCGATTTCCCCAAGTGACGAAGAATTAGAGCATTTTATGCACGGGAAGGCCCTCAAATCGGGCCTCGAAAGTGACATCCACACACACACACACACACACAGTTACACGCCAAAATTATATAAGGTAGGATTTTATTATCTTATTTTTAGAATCCCACCTTTTAATCGTCAATTCGCTGTGCGGCTTCTCGACATTCAGCATCTGCAGCACGGTCGGATCGCAGAGTGGGTGCATCGGGAAGCTCTGCGGGTTCGGCACGCCCGCCGAAAAGTTTGCTAACTTAAAAAAAAACATTTTTTTGTGATTATAGCCTTAACAGTAACACACTTTTTTAGTATATTTTCCAATTAAAAAAGTTTAAAAATACTTGCTAGTCGTGATTTACCTGTAGCAATGACAACAATTGTTGACTGCCCAATTGCAGCAGCATTGGATCAAAATTAGGTGGAAGCGCAATTGGAACCGCCGTGGCAGGGGAGACTGGAAACAAAAATGAAACAAACGCCTCGGAATTTTCTGCAAATTTTTTTCTTGGTACTCTTGCATTATCGGGGGGGATTTTTTGTAAAAGCAAGTCTTATTAACGTACTAGGAAGCGTTTTAATAGTGGTCTACTAAAATCTAAGCATATTTCAGTGGGAAACATTTAAAAACACTTAAAAATCGTCTAAAATTCGAAAATTTGGTATATTTAGTATTTTTAGTAAAAATTTGTGAGGTTTTTACGTTTAGAACAGTAAAAAAATAGTTTAGAAAAACATATTGCAAAAAATCGATCCTAAGAAAAAAAAAGAAAAATTTGGGGGCCCCTGCCTGACACCCCCTCCCCCGATAATGCAAAAGAACCTTTTTCGTTTAATCTCGATTGCAAATCACCCTTTTATATAAAAAATGTAGTACATTAAATGTTCTATAAAAATTACCTTGACTTTCCGATGCACTATCTCGCCCGGAGTCTTCTTCAAAATCCAGTTGGCATAGACGCTCTTTCTCCAAAGCCGGCGAACACATCTGGAAAGTACGTTGAAAAGCGGGGAAGCGTCATCTGGAGCACCAGCTCGAAAGTTTTTCTTGGAAAATTCGAAAAGTGTAGTTTAATTTGTCTTGTAATGGATGCTCTACGCAAAAAAAGATTTGGTGGGCACAAGTTGTGAGAGGGTATTGCGCAACCACAATGCCGACAGCTGTCCCAAAAGAGAGAAAAAGGTTCAATCGGGGGTGCGGGTCCAGGGGACGACTTCAAATATCAACGGTCATTTTTGTGGCTTTCCGCGCAAGCTAAAGCTATCACTAACAGCTAAACACTGATTTTGCGCGGGGCTCGAAAAGATATTGTGGATTGTGTCGGGACAATGTTTTCGATGATTTCATAAAAGATGTTTTTGGGCGGGACAACAGGATTGGGGGTAGATATTGAGGGGCGGGGATTGATTTTCGATGTAAACGCTCGAGAGGACAGGAAAAAAAATATAACATTTGTCGAAGAAGTATAAATAAGTAGTTTAAAAAGTATAGATCCAGAAGCGGAGTGAAAATAGATTATCTATAAATTAGATTCAAGGGTTTCTATTCCTTATTGTCGATAAACGAAAAAAACTTTAGAAACGTTTACTAAAATCCCTTAAAAAAACAATTTATTGGACCAAAAATTTTCAAAAATATATAATATCAAAGTTTTTTTGAAGTTTTTAGCCTTTTTCTAGGTTTTATAGATAGTTTTGCCCTCTTGAAATTCATCTAAAAAGGGTGCATAAAATGTGTTGCACGCCTTTAATAGTATTTTTCTAGGCTTTTGTACTATTTTTCGTTAGAGATAGTGCTGAATTTTATTTAAACTCTGATTTAAAAATTTTTTTATAAATCGGCAAGATAGGCAAAAAAATTCTGGCTTCAAAATAGTTGTTTTTACTGCAAAAAAAGTTGCGTTTTTGGCTCAAAGCCGAAGAAGAGTTCGAAAAGTCTTCAAAAAATTCTCAGATTCCGCGAAACAAAGCAGCGCCGACAGTTTCACCATGATGAACTGTCGAGATGGAGAAACGGGCAGGTTATTTTGGTGGTGTGCCGGGCGAAAATTCGATAATTGAGCGCGAGCCGAACAAGGCGGGCGAGCGGGCGGGCGGGCGGGAATCGGCTGGCGGGAAGCGAGAGGTGGTGGATGGCCTCCCGGTCGCTTTCTCTTCGTATATTTCCACATTGCGCAATTCCATCCCATCGTCAACACATGTGACCTCTGACAGTGTGTCGACCAGGGGGGGGGGAGTGAAAGGCAAGGGGGAACGATGAAATGTGCATGCGCAACCCGACTGAAAAGCCGATACAACGCCCCAGTATTATTTACGTCTATTTTTACCGATAGAAATAAGTAATATTGAACCAAAAAAAAATAGATAAAATGTACCAACAAAGTAAAATCAATTATTAAATAACACTTCCATATTTTTAGCCGTTGTAAACTCGGTTCTGGTCCCTTAACGGGGGGACTTTTTTGACCCATGACCCCAAAGCCCACCGAAAATATAATAAACACTATTTTCAACCGATTTTCAGGTATTTAAAGATTTCAGGGCACTTGACTCTTAGCGGGGGGGGATCCTATGGCCCTAAAACCCACTGAAAATATAATAAAAACAGTATTTCATAAGCATCTCAAAGTTTTTAGAGAGTTCAGGTACTTGAATCTTAACGGGGGGGAGGGTTGTCCTCTCACTCTACAACGCTTCACAAATTTAATAACGTCCGATTCTTGAAATATACGTAAAACAACAAAAAATCGCAAAAAACCCCAATTTTTCTATTTTTAGCAGGGCTAAATTTTAATTTTGCGTCTATGCCTTCCCGTCAATAATATATTTTGTATTTTATAGGGTTTTTAGCTGTTTTTGAATGTGACGAAGTTATAAAATCGATCAAAAATATCGAAAATTGCAATTCATGATCCTTTAAAAGCAATTTTTACACATTTTCGCCTAAAAAAATTCACAATTTGTCGATAATTTTTTTCTTGGCGTTTGTTCTCTAATAGCTATGTAAAATGCTACAAAAATGGTCTATATTTCGCTATATTGCCGTGCCTCCATGTCTAGCCTGCTGAGCCTATATCTATATATATCCCCTCCGCTAACAGGCTAGTACCAAACCTTGTAGTTCTACGTAAAACAATAAAATACAAATAACTTTCCACCCCCCGTCTCTGTTAGACAAATTCTTTCCCGAATGCTATGGCGAGCTGATGAGCCACAAGGAATCATCGAGAAACGCTGGTGCTGATGCTGGGAGTGAAACTGTACAGAACGCTCCGCAAAAACATCCGCTTTATATCTGGCCCCGAGGCCGCCCAGGGGGTTTCTAGAATACCGGAAATTTGCAATTTATCCTGCCCTCGATTAATTGAAGACTATTTCGGGGCTGTTGTACAGAATCCTCAGGGGCCACAAATGAGCTTCCTGTATAGGAGATCGTACAGCGCCGGGTTTTTCCAGGAAATTGGGGAAAAGTTTCGTTTCGGGCGGGGTTACGGTTGGGTTCTGGACTGAAGTTGGTGTAGAACGAAATCAAGAGCAGTTTCTAAAAATAGACGAACAAAGTGCTGATATTGTAGGCAAAAGGTTTTCAAACTTAAAAAATCGCTAAAGCGCCAAAAATGGTTCTTTGGCATTATCGGGGGAAGGGGTTACAGTTCAGAAATGCCGAGTAATGTAATTGTAAGTACCCTTATTATGTATTTTTTGAGCTAATTTAGCCAAATTTCAAGCCGTAATAATGCCCATTAGGTTTTAAAACTTGAATTTTGGTCGAAATCGGCCATTTTTTGGTATTTTAATAAAATGTATCGTTTTTACGTTTAAAAACAGAAAAAAGAGTGCATTATCAAAATCCCTAAGCCAAATAAAGGTCAAAAATCTATTATCTCGAAAAAGCCTGGAAATTTTCTGACTAATAGGTCGGAAAAGCGGCTTATGAAAATTTCAAAAAAGGTTGATGAACAATCTGAAATGCTTCTAAAAAATCGCCATCGAATTCGTGAAAAAATCGGTAAAAAGGCCACAAAACCTCCAAAAATTCGCAATCTAAACAACCGTGAAATATACAGGCAAACTGGAATTCGTTATAAAATAGCTAAAAACTAGTAAAAAAACGCTTGATAATCAATCAAAAAAACTTCTAAAGAATAGCGAACGCGGAATTTGTTACAAAAACGTCAAAAAAAACCCCACAAAAACCCCGAAAAATTAGCAATCTAAAAGTTTTCAAATAAAGAGGCAACTCGGCAAAAGCTCAAAAGTGGTTATGGCATTGTGTATCGAAAGGAATGCTGTAATATTGTAATGGTGTGACCCGAGAGGCCCTCCTGTCTCGGACGCGTACCAGCGGGGTTGGGCTGGGCGGTTGTCGGCTATGGCTGACCTCCGATGACCCTGCAGTGCCGCAATGGTTCCCCATCGGGGGGTGGTCTCTTCTTTCGCCCCCCTCACAGCCGCTATGCAAATTGCCACCCCCATCACCGCCCATAAAAACAGACACCTGTGGCGCCAGCGCCCAGCCCCCAGGGGAACGCCGTTCAAAAGCTGCCCATGCCAACAGGTAGCCCCAGCCGACTGCGCGTTGTTGATTCACGCCTGAAAATGAGATTTGCTAAGGTGGTATTGTTCAGGGACTAAATATACCATGATTGCTCTAAAAAAGAGTTTAGCCATTTCCTTAGATCTTTTAGATATTTTAAACTCGTCTTCACAAAACTCTACAAGGTCTGGTACTTCTGTATTAGCAGGGGGAGCGCATTTTTACAATTTTCTCTATAACTGCCTGGAAATAAAATACAGTGTATTTTCTCGCATTTTTAGCAGTTTTTCATGCCTAGAGAATTACCTTAAAAATTTTGAACCTTTCTAAAAAGTTGAAATTTCGGGAATTTCGACCATTTTTTCGGGCATTTTTGACGAAAAAGCAACATTTTCGATTGATAGCATTTTATAATTTTTATATCTAAAACAGCGTAAGCTGCGATAAAAATAGCCTATATTTCTTAACAAATTTGAAAATTTGAAAACCGGATATCTCTGACCAAAAAGTGGGAATTCTTTGAGCTTTTCGTAAACGGTTTTATATACCTAAAACACGGCAAAATACAACTAAATATAGTTTCTATATCATTACAGGGCCATTTAGGATTACTAGAGGAAAATCGCGCTTAGATTCTTCGTCTAACCAATCCATGATAGTTTGCAAGGCTCCCAGAAATTCCCCATGCCTCCCAATGCCATCTTCACCCCAGTCCCACACCCAGAAATTCAAAAAACACCGTCGGTTATTTGCCCGGGCAGCGGGGCGTAATTGTATGCCTATTTGCGGGGCTCATTAGGATGCCGTGGGCAGACCGGACAAGGGAGATCCGATGCATTCAAAGGGCTCTGAGGAGACGGGAGTAGAGGATGGCCCCGAATGCCCCCAGTTGACCTGCTCAGCGGGCCGTTGCGCAACTGGTGTCTCCTCTACCGCCACACAGCACAGTACCAGAGACACATTTGAATTCCGCCGCACAGCCCGGGCTTCATCAACCTGAACTGTTATAAAAACGCGGTTCTGGTAGGTTAGGGGGGGGGTGGAGGAACTTAACTTCCTTTATAAGAGTTTCCTTCAGAGTAATAAAAAGAACTAGTTTTATAGCTTTAGTTTAGTAGTTTACTAACACTAAAAAGCGATAAAAAGATTAAAACAAATCAAAAAAATCCGTCAAAATCTGTGCAAATTTTAACGCATTTTTAACTTTTGTTATCTAAATAATGGAAAATTTCACCACAGAGCGGATCTGGAAATATAAAAAAATTGCGGGCCCCCCGCTAACTCACCGGTACAGAAATAGCCTTTTGAATGCGTTTTCGAGAGTTTTTTCGCGTACAACACTCCCTTTATCCAGAGAATCACAAATTGGCAATGTTACATAGTTGCAAGTCGATCACACAGAGGACTACAATTAAACGGGGGGTCAATCACCAGAAGAAAGTAACCACAGGAGGGTAGACAGTTATTCACAGAGGCGCAGGAGTTTATCACATGGGTTTTTCAATGGATGGGCATCTAACAGCAAAGTGAAAGCAAAACGCAAAAGGATTCCTTGCCGACCCCAAGAATTAGCACACTTTAGCAGAACACGTTGAGGAAAAGGGAAAAGGCATGGAATCATATGGCGAAGGGCGAATAAATTAGTCGGGATTTGTATTGCAAGGCACAGTTCAGAGGATGATGGCGGCAGTCTCGGGGGCGAATCGTTCCCAGGCTTTGAGGAGCTAAAAATGGAATGTTTAGAAGATAGATTTAGCCTTACATCTTGCTGTTCGGAAAGGAGGGATTCAAGGAACTCTATGATAATCTCCTTGAGGTCTTCACGGCGCTGTGCATCAAAGCGGCCCACTTCGTCGCGGACGAGCCGGGACAGGTCGCCGAAATCCAACTAGAAACACAACTGTAACTCTTAAACTTGACAAACCTCGAGCTGATCAACCTTGCGCTCCGCGTCGTCCATCTCGTCCTTGGCCTGCTGAGCCTTGTCGGTGCGCCCAGCCAGCTCAAACCTGTAAGAAAAACAAATTGTCGAAGAAAATTTTCAAACCTGGCCTTTTGCTCGCGCTTCCTGGTCAAATTCTGCTGAGCAGCCTGCCAAGCTTGCCACAGCCGCACGCGCTCGTTGAACACGTCTTTCAGACTTTGGAAGAGGGCGACGTACTCGCCAACAGATTCCACCAGCTTTGCTTGATCGTTTTCCGCCTGAATAAATTTCAAATAACGAGAAGAAAGCGGAACCTGGCGTCCGAAGCATCCAGCGACGTTTTCCTCGGTCTCGGCCAAATGAGAGAGAGCACGAGCTAACGCGGTTGATTCCTCGCAAGACGCGAGCATCGAGACGGCCTACGGAACTTGTTAAAAACGTAAAAATCAATGCCTACCTTAGAAAGACTTTCGCAAGAGCCGTGCAGCTCCTTCCGTTGCTGGTGCAAGTTTTCGGCCAGAGACAGCAATTTGCGGAGAAGTTCTTCGAGCTCCTCGACATGCGATTGGGTCTGCTCGAACCAGCGATCGCCCTCCTCCATGTGGAAAGCTATTTTCGTGAAAGCCTAAAACAAATTATTCTTTCTCGAGCTCAAACAGCAAACCTCGCTGACACTCTTGAAAAAGACGCTTGGCTCCGGCGGACGAGAGAGTGGCAGTATTGCCAAACCTTCGGCAATTCGCTGTTCATCGTCGGGAAGTCCCGGACATCACAATCGGTTCCGCATTTTGGGTGCTAAAAGGACTATTTGGCGATGACAAGAAAACTATTACCTGAACGACACAAGCAGGGAACCGCTACAATTGTCGTAACCGCTCCGTTCCGATGTTGTTGTTAATCGGCGGATCGTTGTTCCCAGACTTTGTCATACAAAAATGCGGGATTAATGTCACAACAAAGGGTCGCTTGCTTTGTCATAGCAGCCAGGCTTTTCTCCGGGGACTCGGAACAACGATTCCCTGGCGTAGGGAATTTGCAATCGACGAAGCTTCTCATGCGGCGGCGAGGAAGTCTGAGAAGCGCCGCCCGGAGCCTGAAAAAGTTTTAAAATTATGAAAGAAAGAAAACCTCATGGGTACGGTCAGAGATGCCGGGAACGTTGCGGGCCTCAGTCAAGATCTTGTAAACGAGGTACGCGTTGATTCCCTCGCCACGCTTCTCGAAATGGTCAATCTATAAAAAGGTTTATAACCTCGAAAATTGCGCGCTCCGTGATAGTAAAGTCCAGTCCTTCTCGTAAACGGATGGGCTGCTGCCGGAGGAGATGATGACGACAGATTAGCAGTTTCGGTGACTTTTGCGACGGCTTGCAGGAGGCTGGCAATGAGAGTCGTCCAAGCGCAACGCAGGCTCGTCATATGCTCGTCATCGTCGTCGTCAAACAACAGGTCGGTGAGCTGAAGAAAATCCGTTTCAAGAGCCTTGTCAGGATTACCGGTTCCTGAGTCGATGGCGCTTACAGAGTCAGCGAATCGAAGCGCTCTCCGTTGGGGTGGTTGTCATCGGCATCAAGCATTTTCCCCTGCCAAATTCTGGGCTATAGTGGGGTGCTGCTTTCCAAACAGCCGTACGCGCGGATCACCCAGGGAAATCAGCGGAAATCGATGACGAACAAGGCGCGTTGTGAAACCGGGAAACAAGCCAAAAGCGGAGCGAATTCGTAATAAACTTCAGAGCGGAATTTGCTCCAGCAATTAACTTCTGCTTCGCTTTCGTATTCAAAAAGTTAAGGAAAAAGACGATTCTCAAACAAGCTATTGATTGGGAGATCAAAAACATCTAAATCCTATATAAAAACGAATGGAAAACAGCGTTTCAAGGTTTATTTTATCTAAACCATGCAAAAACATTGATTCAGAACGGAATTTTGATTATGAAACCGTTTCGGCAAGCTTTCGAGCGGATATAGAGGAAATTCGCTAAGCGGCGCGACAACAATAGTAATATTAAGATATTAAGTAAGGTTATAAAGTTAAAAATAAGCGTTTTCTGAATGTCAGCGATCTATAAGGGTCGCTTTTACTGTTTATAAAAGCCGTTCTGTACATCAGTCAAGAAAGGCCGAATTCATCCCCGGAGCACGCTTTAGGCCACCGCCCGATTTGGCCGTACAAACGCCCACTCACAGCTCGTCCACGACAGCTGCAAAATGCGAATCGCGTTTCTAATCTTGCTACTAGCTGTTGGATTGACAGCTCTATCAAAATCAGACCGGAAAACAAGGCAAAGGAGAAGGAGCCTGAGCCGGAACCCGAAAAGGAAAAGGCTCGCTCAACGGGGAATGAGCACGGAGGGATTGAGGTAGGTATTTTGGAAGCTTTTGAACTTTTTTAGACCGAACCCCTCGAATTTCCGGCCGCGAAGGTGACGAAAGAGAATATTCTCAAGAATGAGCAATTCGTGGATGCGAAAGAACGAAAATTCACCGGAGCATCGCTTGCCTACATCACCCCGGTTAGTAAAACCAGATGTTTACAGTCGCTTCGCGACTGCAACCATCTGGCCTTCGGGCTACCCTACATGTCCTACTCCACCACATCCTTTCCCACCTCCATCAATACGCCCGATAGCCGAAATCCCGTTCAAAAACTACCTAAATACCTTCCCGATGGCTTCAGATACCCCCCATGGCTGAAATCCCCTTCAAAAACTACCTAAATACCTCCCTGATGGCTTCAGATACCCCCCATGGCTGAAATCCCGATCAAAAAACCAGACATGGCAAACGGCCGGGCCGCCGGCTTTTTCGGCCGGAAAATTAGCATGCGGCCGAGCCGCACGGCTTGGCCGGAGCTTCCGGTCCGGCCCGGCTTTTTATGTTTCGAAAGCCGGAGCCCCGCCAAGCCGCCGGCTTTTGAAAAGCCGGAAAGCCGGACCCAAATGAGATTTTCGGGTTTCCGGTAGGCAAATCGCGGATTCAATCAATAATTCGCTTTATGACAAGGGATAAACTATTCCACCATAGAAACTTTGTCATTTTCATGCACAATTTTGCATAGGATTCACGGATTCTCATGTAAATGAACAACTTCCGGTTTCCGCGCTCGGCCGGACCGGCTTCTGGCCGGGCCGCAACCAAATGCCGGCTGGGCCGAAGCCGGGTTTCCGGAAGTAAGTCATTAACGCGGCTCGTAGGGGGCCGGGTTCTTATGGAAATTAGGCCGGCGGCTCGGCTGGGCGGCTGGGCCGGCCGGGATTGCCATGTCTGTCAAAACTACCTAAATACCTTCCCGATGGTTTAAGATACCTCCCCTAGCCGAAACTCCTTAAAAAACCAAAATAAAGACCGACCGGATGGAATGAGAGAAAAATAAATTAAATCCCCCGTGAAAATTTTCATCCATCGAAACGCGCGCGACCTGGCTCACTATGTCCAAAATCACCCCAACCTCCGTCCACCACCCCTTTTACTAAGGAAAAAACTTTCAAAGTTAATTTTAATAATTTAAACTAAAAGTTTTTCATAATTTTTTATCAGTTTGGGGGTTTCTGACCACGCTCTATCCGGAATCCGAAGAGAGCTAAGCTCTAGCTCTTTCCCTTCGAGTTGAATTCGGCTTCACACAGACGGACGCGTCAA